TCAGGGAGGCGCAGATTGAGTGTGGTTCTTTTATCCCTTCTTCATGAGCAGGGAGATCCACACAAATATTAAATGAGTTATCCTGGTGTTTATCCATGGTAGCTGTTAGTGAGATTAATAATTTTGTTAATTACCATACTGATTTCAGCCCAATTTCTCCTTTTTTTTTCTGGCCCCTAATAATCGCTCAGCTATATCCTAAACTCCTCTAGCATGTGACCCCTCCGCAGCAGTAATTTTGAAAGGGGGGAGTCTATCTCACTTGCTAAGATATAGTACATGAGCAGCTGATGCCCCAGATTCTAACTGCTCTGTCTGGACACACCCAGCATAAATGGAGGTTGATGTCAAGAGGAGGAGGACACAAGGGTCCCCAGAGGCCCTCAGCTGGGTGATCACCTCCGAGTGGCAGAGATAGGCTTCTTATAAGCTCTCCCATTCGGAAGACTGCAAGGCTACTGCTCGTGGGACTTCCTCGACACCTGGTTCTCTACTGAAAGAGCCGCAACACATTAATTCAGGAACACATTTGAGCTAATGTACTCACAAAGGGAAACTCAGGACTTATTTCACATGGACCTTTGGGCCAAAGCTAATTTATCATTTGGGTTCCTGTAACGCTCTGTCTTAAATATGGTCTAAGGAAAGGAAATTATCGGGCTTTCGCAAGTAAATGTATAATTTTTTTTAAATCAGAGCGCTAGCCTCGCCATTATTTTAATCTACTGACATGTCCTTCGGGGGATTACGTCCACGGGCAGTTTTAGGACGAAGGGACACAGGGAAGGTGCTTATTATTTAACCTGCCGCATATTGGCGACGCCACAGAAGTGAGAACTAGACAGTTAAAAACTGCTCGACAGGTCGCTGGTAAAACATTCCCAGTGATTACATTTGTGGAGCAGGAACAGGAAATGGCCAAAAGCGATTCCCTTAAGGAGCCCAATTTTTATACAACTGTCAACACAGCATTTTTTTTTTTTTAAGGTGAATCAACATATTCCAGGGCTTTCTTTAAAATGAAAGTTTTGAAACCAGTTTAAAACTTTCCTAAGAAGAGGTTTTCCTAGTCCACATGTCTTGAGACCCCAGGAAAGTGATGGGGCGGAGACCACGTGACCCAGGGCCAGGCTTTCAGAGGCGCGTTCCTGCCGCGCTCAGCAGACTCGGCCCTGCGAGCAGAGGCATCTGGTTCGAAGCCGATGCTCCGGTCCCAGGCAGGTCCCGGCAGCGCGAGAGCCCGGAGAAGCAGGATTACAAACGAAGAATGGAGAGGAGCTCATGTGGACTCAGTAGAGCTTTCTCCTTTCCCTACATGCTGTCTGTCACCTGTCCTTGCAAAACCCTTGGCTCGCAGGTGAGGTGGCCGCTACCAGCCCCCGATGAGGGCACAGGGCACCCAGGGGGTCAGTGGCTGGACCAAGGCCACATGCTCTCACTGGCTCACAATCATCCCTGGATGAAATGCATGCGATTGATTCTTCCCATCGTTCTGAGGATCAGCTATGTGTGAGTGTTGGAATTACAGAATGAAGACCTGGCCTCTGATCTAGAGGGATCCATAATCTCGACAGGGAAGGTGTGGACATGATCAGATTTAGGGGAGATGATCAGCAGCATTCTGCTCAAGAAACCGCCACGCTCGCTTTTTCTCATGCGGAGAATAATAGCCAGTCCTCAGGGGGCATGGGGAACCCTCACCAAGCCAGGCCTTGGGCCACGTGGGGGAGGCATGGAGTGTTCTCTTCTGTGTCTGCATTATTTTTCTATTGCTAAAACAATAAACAACACATTTACTGTCTGGAAGTTTCTGTGGGTCAGGTCCTAGTGTGGGTCTTTGGGTCCTCTGCTCAGGGTCTCAGTAGACTGAAATCAAGTGTCAGCCAAGGACACAGTTCTCATCGGGGCCTCAGGGCTCTTCCAGGCTCATGTGACTATTGGCAGAGTTCATTTTCTTGTGGCCCTATGACCAAAATTCTTGTTTTCTTACTAGCTCTTGACTGGGAATTGCTCTCAGCTCCCAGAGCCCATCTGAATCCCTTTCCGCATGGCCCTCGTCCGCCAATCACAGCCTGCTCACTGGCTTTCTTCCAGGCCAGCGGGAGCTTGTCTCTCTGGACCTTCGCTTACAGTTAAAGGTTCGCCTGATTAGGTCAGGCCCACCCCGGATACCTTTCCTTTTGATCGACTGATTCATGACCAGATCATGGGAGTGGTATCTCATCTTATTCACAGACCCCGTCCACACTCAAGGGGAGGGGCTTATAGAGGGCATGCACTGAAGGACCCCGGACACTTGGGGCCATTTTAGAACCCTGCCATTTACCAGATTGTGACTTTGCACCCCCTTTACCAGGTTGTAACTTTGCACCCCCCATTTACCAGGTTGTGACTTTGCACCCCCCCGGTTACCAGGTTGTGACTTTGCACCCCCCGTTTACCAGGTTGTGACTTCACACCCATCTGTGCACATCCACCCGACTGCTGCATCAAGTCGTCCCTGCCTCCAAAACGAGCATCCTTCCCTCCCCTCCATCAACATGCCTTTAAAAACAATGCTTTACAGGAGCAACTCCTCACTAATGGTAGAGTAAACAGCACGTGCTCCTGTGTTGTCCGTACTTAGCACAGCGCCTGGCACTTAGCAACCCTCAGCTGACATTTCTCAGTAAATGAGTGTGTGAAGGATCGAATGGGAACCACTTAGGGCATCCTCATGGGATTACACCCTTTTAAAAATGCCCGCCCCCATGTCCAGGCCAGTTCCTCCTTTTGTTATCATCACGTTCTCCCCTGACCTCCAAGGAACCATGCTTGTTAGAAGACATTTGGAGATGGTTCTTCCTTCCATGATTTTATTTTTTACATTTAACTTTTGAATCCATCTAGAACTAATTTTCCAATATGATGGATAAAATATTCCATCCCTTACCCAATTAGTCTGTAATGCTTTTTAAAATAGATATTAAATTCTCATGTATAATGAGCTCTATTTTTGAGCTATCTGTTCTATATCATTGATCTGCCCATTCAATGAGTGTGTCGGTATCACCTATTTTAATTATTGGAATTTTTAATATCTTTTAAGATCCAGTAGGGCCGGCATTGCCCATTATTCTTCTTCAGGCCCCTCTCTCACCCGGTCCATTAAGCCTGGGTCTGTCTTGCACTAGCTCCTCAGACAGCAGCACACTTTGGCAAGGTCTGGACGTGGAGCCAGACCTAGGTTCACGTTCTGCCTCTGAATCTTCCTAACTCCACTGAGTCCCAGGGAAATGCAAACCTATAATAATAACGCTGATGCAACCCTCTTACTGTGAGAGTTAACTGGGGCAACCCCTAAGACCCGCCCAGCAGCGCATGTAAGTGGTCGGCACCTCCTAGCTGGAGTGCAGGGGTGCTTCTGGAGGTCCAGGTACCCATGCTTCTGCTCCTCCATCCTTAGGAGCAGGGACTGTGACGCTTTTGAGGGTATCCTATACCGATGCTGAGTCTCGGACCTCAGACTCAGGCCAGCCTTTGGGCTCAGAGCATCCAGGATAACCCTTGGCCCCAGCCTTTGGGCAGTCTCTTTAGGACTCACGCGGGTCCAAGGGACATCTGGTCTGTAAAGCATTACATTAGTCTGTAATGCTTTTTAAAATAGATATTAAATTCTCATGTGTAATGAGCTCTATTTTTGAGCTATCTGTTCTATATCATTGATCTGCCCATTCAATGAGTGTATCGGTATCACCTATTTTAATTATTGGAAATTATTGTTGGACTGGGGCCACCCCAGAGTACTAGGAGACTCTGAAAGGGGCTGTGAACCAAATGCCAAAGCCCACTTTGCTTGTCCTTATAGGACTTTGGAAGTGCCAAGAAATTACTACCCCTTGTTTCAACCCCTGGGCGCCTATCTCTGGGTTTTGGCAGCCACAAATTACAGGAGCTGGGGGTTGGAAGTCATTCTAGCACACACGAAAGTGGTGCTGGCGAAGGGAGGTGGGTGAGGCTCTGACAGCAAGAAATTCTAGCAAGAAATTACAGACAAGAGGATGGTGCAACCCCGTAATAGTGACCCAGTCCCCTGCATCTGTCCAGAGGTTTACACAGGTTACTGTTATCCTTAGTCCAAGTGCAGCCTGTGATAAATCACAAGGAAGCCAAGAGTTTTGATGGCCAAGGTCTCCTTTCCCTGCACCTTCCCTTCTACTCAGAGGAGACAGGGCATGAACTCATTCGTTCCTTCAGAAAGGGTCTCTGAAGCCTGCTGTGCACGATCGGGAATGAGGATAGGACACAGCTCTGCCCTCGGGAACTTTGACGTTGCCCGGGGAGGGGAGAAAGAACAGGACAGCATCCTTGTATGTGTGATTGGCTCTCTGGGGATGATGATCAGGCAATCGGATTTCCTGTCCTAACTCCATCCCTGCAAGACCTTCTGGAAAAGAAGGGATCCCATGTTCCAAGCCTCTTCATTTTCAATAAGAGAAAACTAAGTCCAGAGAAGGGAGGTGATTTGTCCCGGCTTCAAAGCAGCGAAGGGACGTCACTACTTCGCTGTCCCACAGTCGGTCACCTGAAAAATGGGGCTGCCCTTCACCTTCCATCACGCTCTGGAGGCAGCACACAGTCTGTGAGGAGACCCCTGAAGCCCCCCGAATCACTGTGAGAGGAGGGGACAGAAGCGGATGGTGTCAGGTCATCAGTGGACACGGTGAAGGTTGAGAGCCAGACCACCTAAGTTCAAAATTCGTTCTTCACTTAAAAGCTACTTGAACTTAAGCACCTTCCTTCCCAATCTCTCTAAACCTCATGGTCGCATCTGGAAGATGATGACAGTGGCGTTTCCGTAGCATCGTTTTAGCAGTGATGTGACATGTACATCCACGCGTAGCTCAGTGCCTGGAACGAGGACTCCTAGCATGGTCCTGCCCACTGGTGTTTGATGCTCACGGGCCGTGGGGTCAGCCAGGTGTCCACCTGACATGTCCATGTTCCTCTTCTGGTTCCAGGGGCCCCGGAGGAGCGGCAGGAGCGGGAGCGTGGCGAGAGAATGAAGACACCAACCGCCCGGGAGAAGCATGGGGTGGCAGCGAGGCGCTCTGTTTAGAGGGCTCCGGCCGGCGGCCCCATGGGCAACCCTGCTGGCGCTGGGCCTCCCCGGTTGGGTGTTGGCTGTCTCGGCCACGGCCGCGGCGGTCCCCGAGCAGCATGCGTCCTCCGCTGGCCGGCCGCCCCTGGACTGGCTGCTCACGGACCGGGGCCCCTTCCACCGCGCGCAGGAGTACGCTGACTTCGTGGAGCGGTACCGCCAGGGGTTCACCACCAGGTACAGGATCTACAGGTGAGTGGGACCCCGACCCAGGCAGGGCCTCCCTCGGGACCCCACCCCGACAGGCCCGCGGGTCGGGGGGCCGCAGCGCCCGCAGACCGAGCTCCAGGGGGGCCGGAGGGCAGCGGCAGGGACAATGAGCCTACCATGTTGGCGTTTAAAAAAGGAAGGAGGTAAACACACAGGCTGGAAAACCTGCTGATGCCTCCTGGGGAACTTAGCAAAAGGGTTTCTATTTATAGGTTCAGCTGCTTATAGATTGGGGACGAAAGAGGCGGCAGAGTCAGCGTGTGGCCAGGGCTGCGCTGGAGGTGGAGTCCGGCGGGGCGCCCACGGATGGGTTGGATGCTCCCCTGAGCTGTAATTACGCAGACATGCGGATGAAGGCGGAGAGCGTCCCGCCCAGAGTCCAGGAGCTCTGGGGCGCAGGGCCCAGCCTGCCCTGCCCCCCCCCCCCCCAGCACCACAGCCTCAGGGGCCTGGCTGCGGAAATGGGCGGGATCTTCCTGGCCCCCTGGCCCGTCCTGAAGCATCAGAGCCAGCTGACACGGAGCATGAGACCTACCTGGGCCATGGGACAAGGGACAAAGCAGGGACATATTCCCCACTGCTGGACTAGAATTTTCTAAGCAGGAGGAACCTCGAAATCCTCACCTCAGAGCTCCCCCAAGTAGCACCCTGAACTCAGATGTCCTCTTCCTCCCTCAAGCCACTTGCCCTCCGGTCACTACTCCTTCATCAGCCCTCGGTCCTCAAACACTTCTGGGAGCTGGGCTGAATTTGTTTTCTCTTATCAAAGGCATGTATTTTTCCATTACAAATGAGTTCCCAATGCAAAAAAAAAAAAAAGAGAGAGAGAAAATGTGACAAAAAGCACACTGAGAAACAAAACCAGAAAAACACCTCGTTTAGCATCTAGAGGTTGCTGTTGTTAGCTGTGTGGCGCATGCGTGTCTAGTCCTATGAACATACTCTAGTGTTTGGATCCCTCACTAGATCTGGCACTTTCTACACATTAATTCTTTTATCTCATTTTATTTTTATTGATTTTAGGAAGAGGACGGGAGAGAGAGAGATTTTAGAAAGAGAGAGAGAGAAACATTGATGTGAGAGAGAAACATCAGGTGCCTTCAGAATGTGCCCCAACCAGAGAGCAAACCCACAACCTAGGTGTGTGCCCTGACTGCAAATTGAACCTGCAACCTTTTGGTGTACGGGACAATGCTTCAACCAGCTGAGCCACCTGGCCAGGGCCGTACAACTGGTGTATGGGACAACACCCCAACCAGCTGAGCCACCTGGCCAGGGCCGTACAACTGGTGTATGGGACAACACCCCAACCAGCTGAGCCACCTGGCCAGGGCCGTACAACTGGTGTATGGGACAACACTCCAACCAGCTGAGCCACCTGGCCAGGGCCGTACAACTGGTGTATGGGACAACACCCCAACCAGCTGAGCCATCTGGCCAGGGCCGTACAACTTGTGTATGGGACAACACCCCAACCAGCTGAGCCACCTGGCCAGGGCCGTACAACTGGTGTATGGGACAACACCCCAACCAGCTGAGCCACCTGGCCAGGGCCGTACAACTTGTGTATGGGACAACACCCCAACCAGCTGAGCCACCTGGCCAGGGCCGTACAACTGGTGTATGGGACAACACCCCAACCAGCTGAGCCACCTGGCCAGGGCCGTACAACTTGTGTATGGGACAACACCCCAACCAGCTGAGCCACCTGGCCAGGGCCGTACAACTGGTGTATGGGACAACACCCCAACCAGCTGAGCCACCTGGCCAGGGCCGTACAACTGGTGTATGGGACAACACCCCAACCAGCTGAGCCACCTGGCCAGGGCCGTACAACTGGTGTATGGGACAATACTCCAACCAGCTGAGCCACCTGGCCAGGGCCGTACAACTGGTGTATGGGACAACACTCCAACCAGCTGAGCCACCTGGCCAGGGCCGTACAACTGGTGTACGGGACAACACCCCAACCAGCTGAGCCACCTGGCCAGGGCCGTACATTAACTCACTTAGTCCTTTAAGCAACTCTGTGCCGGAAGAACAATCCTTCTCCCTTTTTCCAAATGAGGAAATTGAGGTTCAGAGAAGTTAGGGAACTTGCCCAAGGACACACGGCCAGTAAATGGTGAGCCAGGATTAGTTCCCAAATTGTCAGGGTTCTTAAAATATATTTAGACATTTTCTATTTCTAAGAGTTTGGGTTTTTTTTTTTTTAACTTCTGCAATAACCAAGGCATCTGTTTAGGTTAATACAGGGTCTCAGAAATTAGGTTTTGAGGTATTCCGCTTCCCCAGATGGTAAGAGCAGACAGAAAGAGGGGCCTGCCTCCTGGCACGTGACTCCCATAGGCACATGCAGACAGCGGGGCACGATCAGGTATTTGAGGGGCTGGCACTTCATGGGTGCAGAGGTGCACAGAAGCGAAATCCCGCCCTTGGGAGTACCTGCCCAGCTCACTCACCAGGCCAGCCCCCCTCCCAGTCCGGCCACGAGAGATCTTGGAGTTCACACTCTCTTCTTTGGAGCCTTTCATCCCTGCCATCCTCCAGAGCACAGTGGCATCCACACAGGGCCCGAGGCAGCGGGGCCAGCTCAGGCTGGGTGTGGCTGAGGGTCACCTGCTGCAGCGACAGCGGAAGAGCTTAGCTGGACGTTCGACAGACCTGTAGGAAACTAGACACGTGCCCCTGTGAAATTCCTACAAGGGGAATTCAGGGTGATGCATCTCTTTATCCAGGAATGTATATTTCCATCCTTCTGAGAGAGAGAGAGAATCTACCCTTCAATGTATCTACCCTTCAATGTGTTTAAGCAGCAAATTCCTCCAGTCCAAGAAAATAAGATTTAATTCATCTTGGATTTTTCAGTTTACCCCAAATCTTCCAGAAGCACTGTTATCACAAAACTATATTAAATATATATATGAATTGAAATGTCAGGCTGAGAATTCCGCACCACCTTCCACTTCGAAGGCTGTAGGAACTGGAGGGAATCAGCCATCATTTCCTTCTCATCAAGCCCAGCCCCCAGCCTGGAAGCCATGGTGGCCCCGAGCTGGCCCGTGGGGAGGACGATCTGTGACCACTTCTGCACTAACAACCGTTCTATCAGCGGCAATGGCTCTCTGACCATGTAATGTGACAAGTTCCCACGCAGTACCATTCCGCCTCTCTGGGGTGTTATTGCACGTGAACTTCGGCTGGGGAAACAGTAACCAGTCGTTCTGACAGGCGTGCAGCATTCTGGTTTGGGACCCTCTGGTGGGGGACGAAAGAATGGTCACCCCTGGCTGCCCCAGGAGCATTCGGGTAGTTATCAAGCAAAGTGGTGGCTCCACAGACACTGGTGGGAGGGGCTGCATTATCCTCGTGGGAACTCACTCTCCTCCCTTCCTCTTTGTCTCTAGTGGCAACTCCCTCAGACAAATGCAAGACCTTGCTTCCTCTGATGAAAGTGGGTCACAGAAAACTGGTAAACTACACAAGAAGGGGCCCTGGCCGGTTTGGCTCAGCGGTTAGAGTGTCGGCCCGCGGACCAGAGAGTCCCGGGTTCGGTTCCCGCTAAGGGCACGTACCTCTGTTGCAGTTTGTCCCCGGCCCCGGTTGGGGTCGTGTGGGTGGCAACCACTCGATGTGTCTCTCTCACATCAATGTTTTTCTCTCTCTGTTCCTTCCTCTCTCCATCCTGCTCTATCTGAAGAAAAAAAACAAAACAAAACAAAAAGCACACTCACAAGGAGGGGTCACCCCAGTGACCAGAAAGAAGGCATTTTATCCAGAAGGTAGGGAGACAAAAAGTTTATAGAGAGTATCAGAAATATAGACAGTATCAGAAATGTTCTGTGGTGCACGTTCAGTCTCAGCCGGAATTCGTCTCTCATTCAATTCTTTAAGAAAGCTGTTGTCTGTAGAAAACAGGTGGTATCCACGTGTGCTCTCCACAGAAGAAAGGAGATGAACTGAGAGGGGAGAGTGAGACTTTCCGATGGCTGCGATGTTTGGTGCAGAATGAAGGCAGCTCTCTCGTACCAGGACAGACACCCTCCGTCCCTTCCAGCTGTGTGAACAGATCAGAGTGAGCACACGAGCTTCTCCTGTTAAGCTCTGGATCCCACCTGTTCTTGTTTGGATATCAGCACATGCTCTCGCTTTGAGGAGAGGACCGGGCGTTCTAGGACTGCTCTGACCTCTCCAAGCATGGGTCCCCTGAGTTTGTCGTTCTCTCCATTTCAAGCTTGTTCTCGTGTAGGTATGTATGTTTCAGAGGGAAGGTTCTGGAGTCAGCTGACCTGGGTTCTCAGCCTGGAGCTGCTGCTCACCAGCCGTGTAAGGCTGGGCAGATGACTTAATTTCTTTGCTTCCCAATTTCCTTCTTTGTAAAATCAGGACAAAAATAGTGTCCACCTAATAGGTTAACGTGAAAATTAAATGTGTCGGACAAGGGAAAGTATGTAGAACAGTGCTTGATAAACACTACCTACCGTCATTAGGTTGTGCTCAACAAATGTGAGCCAGTGCAAGAGTGAGGGGCGCCGGGGTGATCTGTGCGAGGTCTGTGAGGGCTAAGCACTCAGCAGCTTATATCAGAAAGAAGACATTGTTATTTTTCTGTCTTTTAAAAAGCGTATTGACCTTGACCCGTCAACCTGCCTCTGGGCTGGGAGAGGAACTCGACTGAAGAATGGATGGGTCTGCTCTGGGCGTGCTCCTTCTGGTCTGGCGGGCTTACTTGGGACTGGGACAGTTTCAGCACGTTGGAGAGTCACCACAGGGAAAGAGCTGGCCTTCCTTAGGGTGTCCTACTGTAGCCCGTCCCAGGGATGACATGAGCAACCTCAGGATGGCACCGTCAGGAGAAGAAAGACAGTATGTCCTCTTGTTAAGCGTTCCTGAGTAACAGGACAGCTTGACCGTCTCAGCCAGTGTTTGGCAAGCATTCACATTTCACGAACCAACCTCTCGGCATGTCCTCAAGCCCCGTC